GGTGATGTGAGAGCCTGGTCCGGTGAGAACCCGGCGTGCTCCGTCCCGGCTTTGTAGGGATGCGAGGTCAATGGTCTAACGACTACGGCATGCACGACTATGAGTATGAGTACCTCCTTCCTTAAAAAGGGATTGCGCTGCGTCGTCGAAGAAAGCACTCCGCACCTCACTATTCAAGGCAAGGTGATTCCACTCGCACAAGATCCGCGAGACCAAAGCATGTGCACCCCCGACATCACGTTCGAGCAGAACGTCCAGCCATCTGGCACGAGATCCCTCGTGCCCCACCAGAAGCAGTCACAGACCCACACGGCGAACGCCGTCTGCTTTACGCTTGTGAACGCGGACACCTGGCACAGGAGGCTTGGACACCTCAATGCTCGGAGCCTGGACATCCTTCGGAAAGACACGGGTACCGGGGTGGACTATCGCGACAGTCTCTCCCCTTGCGCGGTCTTCCAGATCGCGAAAGACAAGCAGTCGTCCCACCCGAAGCAATCGACTCGCGATTTATCACGGCCTGGACAACTTGTGGTCATCGACAACATGGGGCCTGTTAATCCTCCTGCGAAATACAAAGGAGGCTACTTCCCGTACGCGTGCAAGATCACCGACGACTACACGAAAATGAAAGAAGTGTACCTGCTTCGCAAGAAATCTGACACGACCGAGGCGGTGCACACGTACAACATGTGCGTCGCAGCGGCACGAGGCTATCGGATCGAGACCATCCGCTGCGACAAGCGAAGCGAGAACACCGGATCCGAATTTCGAGACTACTGCGAGAATTTAGCTCTTAAGCTCGAATACGCCGCCACCAACACCCCTCATCAAATTGGTGTATCGGAACGGGATGAACAAACCCTGGCCGGAGGCACCCGGTGTCTTCTGAAGGATGGAGATTTCCGCCGTCCATGTGGGGGGAGTTAATGCTGACTGCAGCATACCTGTTGAACAGGTCCCCACACTCAGCACTGGGGGGAGCTACGCCATACTCGAAGTTGCACAGCAAGTCACCTGATCTCTCGGGACTTCGGGTCATTGGAGCGCGCGCCTTCGCACACCACGAGCGATATCGAAAGAAGTTGGACGCCAGAGCTTTCGAAGGCAAGCTATTCGGTTTCGACCTCGACAGCCAGACCTACCCGGTATTGAATCCATCCAACGGGGCCGTGGTCGAGAGCCGGAATGTTACTATTATCGAATTCCCACCCCGGTCAGTGTCATTCCAGCATTCCACTGAAGCAAAGGGGTACGACAGCGACGTGCTGAGCTTCACCTCCCTGCTGGACAGCCCCCACTCGACGAGCGACCTGGACTTCACGGCGCAGAACGAACTCCTTCGGCAAGAAGTCCGGAAGATGCAGCAAGACAATCTCGCTCGGGAGGAGCTTCGCCTAGAACTGGACGGGAACGTGGACGAACATGAAAACGGGCAGGATCTCAGCGACGGGGACGCCCCATCACCGCATCTCTCATCGACGCTAGCTGGACCGTCATCCGAAACCCACGCATCTAGCCCCATCCTATCATCGTCGAACCCGTCTGAACCGGACACTTCTGCATCAACTGGATCCTTCCGCATGCGGCGCCTGCAAGTCACCAGAGCTAGCACGCGCGGCAAGCCCACCAGCGACGGTCAGATCGACGTTAACTTGGTTCCTGCCCATATGCAAGTCACCATGAACGACCGCGGTCGAGCCCATGCTGCAACGGGCCGCGTGGAGCCATCCGGTCTTTCCTTCACTCAGCTGGCTGAGATAGCCGATCAAGCCCAGCTCCCATGCCCTGGCGATACTGAGGATTTCGCCCACGTGGCGGAAGACCCCTTCACGGTGCCGCGTGCTCACGCCTACCTCACGACCACCACGGGATATTGGAGGAGACAAATCAAGCGATCAAAATCCCCAACACCTACGACGAAGCCATGAGCTCTCCCCAGCGCGAAGAATGGAAAGGAGCGTGCAGCAAAGAAATGGACAATCTGCGGAAACACAACGTCTACAATCTGGTGCCCCTCAGCAGCGTTCCCAAGGGAGAGAAGATCCTCGGAACGAAATTCGTCTTCAACAAGAAGCTGGACGGACGCTTCGAAGCACTCCTGGTGGTCGGAGGACCTCGTCAAGAGCCAGGACAGGACTACGGACGCAGCTACACACCAGTATGCCGTGTCGGGAGCATTCGCATGACGTGCGCCATTGGCTGCCACAACAACTGGCCCATCTACCAACTGGACGTTGTCGGTGCCTTCCTGAACGCCCTCTGCGACAGAGATGTGTACGTCAGACCCGCCCCCGGTACATCCGCCAAGAACTCCGCGACAGGAGAACTCATAGTGTACAAACTAGAACGGAGCCTCTACGGCCTATCGCAGTCGCCGGCGCTCTGGAACGACACCCTGGACGAGTCTCTCACGGTGTTCAAATGAAAAAGGACTCAATCCAACCCCTGCGTGTACATGTATACCAGCGGCAACATCATCGTGATTCTCACGGTCTACGTAGACGACATTCTCATCACGGGAGGAGACCACCAGCTCGTGGACCAGACGAAGAAGGAGCTCACGGATCGATTCGAGATGACCGACATGGGAGAGGTAAAGCGGATCCTCGGGATCGACGTAGAGCGGGACTACCAGCGAGGGACCCTGGCCATTTCACAGGAGCACCATGTGAACACATTTCTGGAACGGTTCGGAATGCAAGAGGCCAACCCAGTAAGCATTCCTGGTTTCGGAGCGGAAATATTTCCACGAATCAACCTCAGGGCCAATCCTAGGACCCACGGACAAGAAAATCTACCAGTCGATGACGAGAAGCACCCTCTACCTGGCCCAGTGTACGCGATTCGACCCCTCTTCCGCGGCCCTACAACTGGCCAAGGCCTGCAGCAACCCAGCGCAAGTGAACATGACAGCAGCCGAGCACGTTGAGTAATGCTACGGTAGAGGGGTCACATTATGGGGCGTGTGTGACCGACACCACCGGACTGCGCTATATTTGACCAGCCAGAGTATACACCGATTCTGTAGGCACACTTACTTGTGTTCCCGTGTCAGTCACTGATTGATTGTAATGACAATAAGTATTGGAGAGCGTCACACAACACGGGCCCGATAGCTAATTGATTACAAAAAGCCGGTCACGAGGGGTATCCCACCTACCGTAGCATAGCTCCGTTCTGCGATGCCTTCGGGGTAATCCAGTTCTTCCTATCGTCTACAGGAGAGGACAGTTTCGGCTAGCGGCGTTTACGGATTCATCCTTCGGAGCAAACCCCGACAACAGAAGATCTTCCACGGGATATCTCTTCTTCCTGGCTGCAGGACTCATCAGCTACGGTGCGAAGACTCAAACTCTAACCGCGCAAAGCACGGTGGAACCCGAGATTCAAGCACTTAGCTCCTCAGCCAGAGAGGCGGTCTACACTTCAAAGTTTATGACGGAACTCAACTTCAAGACCTTCGGATCGGTTCCCATCAACAGCGACAGCACCGGAGCGCTGACAGTGGCCGGGAATACCATGCACTCTCAACGCACGAAGCATGTGGCTCTGAGGTACTTTTTCATCCGGGAGCTAGTACTGCGGGGATAAATCACTCTTCACGACCGGCCCAGCGAGCACCAGTTGGCTGATATCGCGACCAAGCACCTACCAAAGCACCGATTCGCCTCCATCAATCAGCAGATCAAGGACTTCTCGTGTTGATCGAACATCTGTTAAGCTTCCTACCACAGGCGTCATGCAAGAAGGAATTTATTTCGATACGATGCCAACGGAGGGGTTGAGGTAGAAATGGATATGGTGATGCGGTGGACCCATTGTGAATTAGTTGCTTGATCGAGGGGTCGTGTCAGGAAAAATCGTGCGTCGAGACCACCACTAGTCGGACACGGTTTGACCTTTGAATACGATTGCAGCAACTAGTCTGCGTAGCAGTAGAAAAGGATCCATCTCTCCGTGGCATGTATTATCTTGTTCTAGAAATATTCCGGAAGCATGCTAGATCAAGGTTGACCGGGACATCTACGTAGAACGTGTGTAGCTTCTGGAAGCCTTCTGGAAACTCCTGGTTCCTTCTGTAAGCTTCTGGAAGCGTTCTAGATCTAGGTCGAAGTTGATACTCTTCCAGACTGTAGGAGGGCTTCCAGAAATCATTCTGGAAGCATTCTGGATCTTTCGTGTGATTGGCTTATTTGTCCGGTATTCGAGGAGAGTGGAGCAGCCCTAAGCTCGCCACACCTCTGACTACTCTTCAGTACTAGCAACATGAATCTGACTCGGAAGTCAGCAACAAATAAAAAAATCTTGATTTTTCCATTCCAAGTCACTCGCGGTTGGAGCCGCACAGAGTGTAAACCTCTGAGGTAGGCTACACAGCCTCCTGGCATCTGCAGCATCGTACTGCTGCTAGTGCACAGCGAAATTACGCTCAGAGATGATGCAATCTAGACCGATCCCGCGGGGAACCATCCTGACGACGCACAGCAGCAGCAGTAGACCCTCACGCCCTCGGCGGTTCTCTCGATGATGGTAGGTGTGATCTGGACTCGTTTGGGAAGGTGTGTTCAATTGTGATCATCGGTCTGCTCTCAGTCGGCTGGGCCCACTCAACATCAATTAACATCCGCCAGGTTACACAGGGCGCATGCCTACAGGGTACCCACGGTGCACAGAGGTCGTATAGGCCCGGCGCCTCCTGTTTTGTTGGTGGTGTTGTTGCGTCTCTGTCGGTGCTTTTCGTCCATGTTTTTCCTGTCCTGGTTTGAATCGCGAGCGCGCGATCTCCGCTTTTGTATACACGCCTTTTCGCCGAAAACCCCGGGGTTGGGGAGCAAGGTCTCGGCCGAAATTACCCTACAAATGCCAATGAAGCATGACCATCTGTTCTTGGAGCACGACGACATCGGTGTGACGCAGAGCGCGCTATTTTTCTTGTTCTTCAGAAGCGAACAGATCGTTCATCGGTGCCCTATAGATCTCGCTCTGGTTGCAAAAGTAGGCTATATTGGCTTCCCGGAAATCAAGTTTTGGGGCCCCTGTATCGCGCGGCGCAACTTTGGCCGATGTATAGTCTTTTTTTCCCTCCTGGGGATGAGAAAGGAAATAAGGTCGCTCGCTTCGCTCGCTCCGCGGCTCATAATAATTTTCAATTGTTCGACACTCTGTCTGAAGCGGATATCCACGCTGTTCGGACCCCTCACCTCCGCGTCTCGTACACCTTGGCCCCTTCATCATGTCCTAAAATGTGCAATGGATATGCTTTCGACACCGTCGTCTGAAGGCGGCTGCGAAGCGCCGGGCAGAGGGTTCGCCTTTACTTCGTACCTTGAAACCAAAATATAGACCAAGGCCAGGACTGACACAATTTCATAAGCATGTCGAGTAGTACGGGGTTCGATGCTCCAAGCAATATATTTCCAAGGCTTCTACAACATGCAGTAGTCGCACCTGGCCTCGGGGCACGTGCGATCCGTGAAGACATGTAAAGGTTGCGCTTAATGGTGGATCCCGCGCTTTTTATCATGTGGTGGAAGACCGTGCAGTATTCAGGCGGCTGGCCGGGTTCACTCCTCGCGTAGAACTAAACAAAAATGAGGAAATCGACAACAGCATCATAACAAGAATACGAGGGCGGGGTAAGTCCTTGGCACCAACCCTTGTACATTACGAGGACACAAATTCATTTCCTGTGTCCTCGTCATCTTCCTCGTTGTCGCTTTAGTTACATATCCTTGACGGTCATGGCTCTGCCTACAGATATGACAGCAGCAAGGGACCTTGCACGGCCTATAACGCCCTGTGCGTGGCTGCTGCAGCGGCACACAGGCTAGTAGAAGCTACTCTACATAGCAACACAATGACAGGGGCTTTCTGAAGACCGAACGATGCCAGCAAGGTGTGTGGGCAAACCCTGGCGAATCTGACGTACTGCGCGCTATCTATCGTGTTCACATTTGAGGAGTTGGAAAATTCGGCGTTTTTGTAGGCGATCATTGGTTGCGCGTGAGGTTTGTCATTTCACTCTTGGTTGGCCATGCCAGTTCTTTACCAGTTTTCTTCCACTTCCGAGCATAGCATGCAGAGTGACAACAGAGAAGGCGAAAGCCATTCTCGCTTCGTCTTCTTGCCAGGCGTGTACTGGAGTAGTCCGACCCTCACCGTATCACCGCCAACTATATACAATGAATGAATGGAGGCCAACCGGACGATATGTAAAATCGCCTTCATGTACGGCGGCATCACTCCTCCTCCACCAGATTGATTCACGGGTTCCAGACGCGTTGCTCGCTCGCCCTGAGGCATGCAAAGAATCGCCGACGATAAGTTTAGTGATTTGATAACTATGAACGGCTCATTGAGCCAAACCCACATTGCAAAACGAACCATGAAGCCTGCCGCACAGCGCTCCATCACGAAAATGATGCTGCACGTGCACAGCACACTGCTTCATGAATCTCCGGATGCTACAGACAGGTCCTGCTACACTGGAATGCGAACTCGGGGATCATTACTTGGAAATAGATTGTGACCTCGACATTTTTGCTGTGAAATGTTTTTTCCAATGAGTGCGAGGGTGAGTGAACGCATACACCGTATTATGTATTGTTTTCTTTCGAACTGCGTTTATTAACAATTTTCTTAAGCCCGAGGGAAGAGAGATGCCAAGCAAACCGGCACAGCACGTTTCCCACAGACACGTTTCTGCGGCCTTCTACCGTGCCTTTGCTTCTCTCCCAAACAGCAACTGAGGGTGCTCTCTCCTGCGGTGGAGGGATTCAATCTCCCTGCACACAGTAGTCTCAGATGACGAAGTTCCGAAAATGGTACCCTACCATTTTCTTCGCCAATATCGAGGTCATCATGACACTGCTCGTGCAGTGGGATTAGCTCCTGTTATGGTCTACCTACCGCACACCACCATTCCCCCGATTGCCTCCCGACTCGCTATGTCGTACCGAACGGGACACAACTTGCGAGTCCTCTATGCTGGCTACTGTATACGGCTCGTACACATTCCTCTTACTCCATCCTCCTGCCTCCGGGGCACGCGTTCCAAATTGTTGCCCCCAACTGCCATATACAGCAAATTCCCGAATCCTTAGCTAAATGGTGCAGCGCGCATTAGTATCTGGGATTCACCCCCTATTTCTTAACTATTTGCCTCCAAGCTCCGCGGGCTTGGTCATACTTCAGAACCTTTAATTGAGATACGACGTTAACGGCGCGTCATCGGGCAACGTTGCACAACATGATAACGACGCCACCACCAGAGCAACTGCTCCGCCGTCTGCTCCGCCGTTTGCTCTGTATCCCGATCATGGGTCGCCTGCCGTGATGTATGAGGAGAACACGACCACGCCGACGTGACGACGGCCGGAATGATCTGCATCATGCGGTGATATGTGTGGCTTCCTGCACACCGCCGCCGCATCGACCAGCTTTTCCGCACCGCGATTGAGGACCCGATAAAGTCGTCGATCAGGTCTGAGTTCGCCTGTGCCTTTAATCTCGCCGCAGCCCTTATTGCAATACCGTCTGGCCGCCCTCATTTGGCCGTGTGTTTCAACTCACTCAGCTCTCGGCGCCCCCTTCGATAGCGATCCTGTCGATTCCACGGCCATCCCTGGGCCGTGGTCCGCGGTCCGCGGAGAAGACCGTGCACGGCACGGGCGCCTTGCTGCTCCCCGAGTGGGCGTAAGCCCTGGCTCCCATGAAGACGGTCGCGGCGTGGGGCCGCGGACATATCCGCCGTCGCGGCTTCTGAAAGGGAACACCTGGCGTTGCCGGCTGCCATCCCCGCGCACCGGTCCGCCCGCGTCCTTCCGCCCTGCCCAGGCTTGACCTCGATGCAGTCTACATCTGTGAGTGTGCAAGCGCTCCCTTCCACAACAAGCAAATCAACAAAATCTGATGCGTCCAGGCGACTAGCGGAAACATTGGCATAAATGTATTTTGTGCGTGCGCAGATCGCACGAATGCCAACGCTGTGGTGAATGTGGGTAGTGCTGTTGACGTAAGCCCCCCCAAACCAAGCCGCCAAAACACGATTGATGTGTTTCGCCCCGGCACATATCGACAATATATCGTCTGCACGATGTACATGACCAACCGCGTAATCGCACAAACTCGGCGGCCGCGGGAACGACACTGCTGTGTGAAACAGGCGGCCCTACCACAGAACCAACAAATGCTGGTTGTTTTGTCCTGGCGGATACTGACAAATCCAAACCATGTTCATGATTCTAATGGATAGTAAGAATCGTTCGGATGCGAAAACCTCAGGAAGCCCTGTTATTGTTAGGAACACGCCCACACCCAAGGCCGCCATGCACGACTGATGTGTTTGGTTGTCGGCACAGTTTATACGCGTGAATCGCCTACAGATCATGGTCGCCAATCGCAAACTCAGGTGATTCACACTGGTCATGTTGAAAACATCTTATGATTGCGATGGCTGCTGGATTTGTGCGAATGCGCTGGCCGCATTACACGGCGTTTTGTAACCTGCGCTCCATCACTACTTGCAAAACACCACCATTATATGACTAGGACATGTTAGATTGGGTGGTTTAAGGACATGTCAGCGGGAATCACGCCAATGCGACGGCCTCGGTAGGCAACATCGTTGCAAAAGCTGCCACACCACCACCAGCCACGATTGATTTGTCTGGTCCCGGCAGACACCGACCGCGTACAATATGTATGGATGGCAAGACTGCGTGAATCGTCACAAAGCGACATCTGTGATACGCCGCAAACTTCATGATCCGGAGTGATCTCTGTGGTCTCCGCAAAAATATGGGCAGCGTGGACCGCACGATGCAACACTCTAGTATGTAGTGCTGCGGGAAAAGAAGCTTACCAACCACGATCCTGGCAGAAATATATCTGCGTGAATCGCCCACTGCGACAAACTGTTGGTTTGCGCTGGTCAATACCAAGCTAACCGGCCAGGAACGTCAAGCACGATTGATGCGTCCGGTGCCGGCATAGACAAATCTGCGTTAATCTGCGACAATGATCGTCCGTAGCACTGTTCTAAATCAAGCTCACCGACCACGGCCGCCGGACACGAGTCACGCGTTTGGTCCCTGGTACACAACCATGTTCAAAAACAACAAGCTACCAACCACGGTAAGCACGACATATGTGCTTGGTTCCGGCATGAACAAATCTGCGTGAATCGCCCGATGCGACAACCCTGCCCAGTAGCACTGTTCCAAAACGAAGTTCACCAGCCATGGCCGCCAAATATGATTGATGTGTTTGGTCCCGGCATACTCAAACCTGCGAGAACCGCCTCATGCGGCAGCCCTGGTAAGATCGCCCCATGATACAACTGGTAACACTGTAGAAAAGGAAGCTCACCAGCTTCAGCCGCCAAACACGATTGACGTGTTAGGTCCCGGCATAAACTGATCCGAACGATCTTCCCATGCGACAACCCTGGTAGGTTGCTACAATGGACCACGAGTGACAACATCAAATATTACATCCCTACTCGGGGACCATAGGTTTTGAAAGGTTTGTCGCGGTATCCGTTGTCATAATAGAAGATTTCGAACGCTCCTTTCGATCTCCCTTGTCAAGCACAACAAATTTCCAAAGGTTCTGTCGATATCTGTTGTTAACCGCAATAGATTTGAAAAAGGTTCCTATTGACATGAATTGTGCATAACAGACTTTCAACGGTTCTCTCGGAAGCCATTGCCAATGGGTTCATGATATGTCATCGGCATACGTACTTCGTTTACTGCGATGGATTCTTGAGCGGGCTACCGATAGACATCGAAACGCAACATCGATAGTCGTTATTCAGGGCAAGTTGTCCGCAAGGTCGTAAATAATATCCACTTGTACGAGAACGTGTTCGAAGGCTTCTTCTAATACTGCCAGCAATGTCTACCGGAACGAAGCCTTCGAAGTCTGTTGTTGCCGACGACATCTACCTTAAAATTCGATAGGCATTTGATAATGCAATAGTTTGCACACGTCATCTGCCACCGGGCTCGGTCTTTGGCAACAACGCGAGAAATCCAGCGACCGATCACCCTTACCGACGGCAATATACTCGCCTATTGTTGTTATTGTTGTTGTTGTTTCTCACATTAGCTCTGTAGTCCACAAAAAATGGGGAGCCCGTGGTCTCAAAACCCGGCACATAGGATGCCGAGGGGAAAAAAACAAAAATATGGTACAAACCACACGGAACAAGAAAACAAAATGATAGAAAGAAAAGAACAGGTATCGCACCGACCGTTCGAGAAAAGAGCCCTCGGAAACCAATCAAAATAAAACAAAAACAAAAATATAGGAGGACGCTTCACACACCCGCCCAGAGAAATAATCAAAGGGTAACGTACCAGCACCAGGCACTACGCACCAGGGCATGGGAGTAACGGAGCAAACAGGACAAAGAGGGGGCAGATGGGCAGACAGCCAGACGTACAAAAACAAAGGCAACGGCAAAGCGAGATCAAGGTGCCCAACACAGCAGAGTAGGCAGGGAGGTCATGAACAAAAACACACAGCACAGATGCCGAAGGCAATACAAAGGACATACATAAACGAGTATAGCATACAGCAGGGAGGGAAACAGGGCGCAACAACACCACGCTGGTACATAGTTCGCCACAAGTGCTGCCTCAGCCGCCCTACTTGCTTCTACAGCAGTGCCCGGTCGCCGTTTCTCCCCCCCCACCGCCGCTTGCCCGGCTCTCTTTCACTTCGGTCCTGAGATGGCCGTCCTCTCTGCTTCTGCTTCCCTCGCGCGCTGGCGCTTCGCGCTTCGCGGACGCTTCCGCCTCCTGCCTGTGCCATTTCCTCATGAACCATGCCGCCCCGTCCTCGACCTTGTTGTACCACACCTCCGGGTCTTTGGCGCTCTCTTTCCATTTACCCCCTTCCTTTTCGTCTCCCATGTTGAAGGCCACGAGGTCCTCTTCTAGACGAGACACCCAGTCGCTCTCCTGCCCGCCCGGGTATCCCACGCCCCCCGCCATCGATCTAACAGCATGCGCTTGGGGAGCCGGCTGTCCTTTATGTGCATAACAAAGCCCGCGACACACAGTCTCCGTTTACGCACGGTGGCCTCGATGGTGTCCTCGCAGCCTGCCCGGATGAGGGCCTGGGCATAGGACATGGGGCGGTCTGAGCTTTTCCGCTTGCTCCAGCCGATGCACCGTGTAAGGAACTGGCGGTGGGTCCCATTGAGCTTCGTGTAGTGCTCCGCTGTTAGACTCCACGAGGCGCACTCATTCAGGAGTGTCTCCACCCCTTTAGCCTGGAGTAGCCGGATCTTGAGCTGGCGGTTGGCCCGTCGCCTGTCGTATATCGAAGCACTGTTCCGGCGGTAGCACTTCCACGCTCGGCAGCTGCGGCTCGTGATCTCCCGGTCGGCCTTCCCGTCCGCGGAGATGGTACGTCCGAGGTACACAAACCGATCTGTCTGCTTGTACGTCTGGCCGGCGGCGCTTACCGTGAACGGGGTGAACGGGCGTTCCTCGATCCCTTTCGGCAGCATGCACATGATCTCCGTCTTTGGCTCCGATACCATCAGTCCGAACAGTCCGGTCACGCGCACGATGACCGACATCATCTTCTCGAGACTCTCCGGCGTGCGCGAGACGGTGGCCGCGTCGTCAGCGTAGAGCATGGCTCAGAAGGCCTCCGCGTCCGTCACCACCGTCGTCTTCTTCCCCGCCGACCTGCCCTTCTTGCCCGTGTACTCCACTTGGGTCCCGAGCTTGACCATGTTCGCCGTCACCTTGGGGTCCTTGTCGAACTCGACTACGACGACCATGAGCATCGCGGCAAAGAACAAGATTAACAGCAGCGGGGCCACGTTGCATCCCTGTCGGAGGCCTTGGCCCACGTCGAACCATTCCGAGTACTGCCCGTCGTCCGTTCGGACGCGCGCCCTCATGCCCTCGTGGAAGTGGCGAATGACCGCAAGCATCTTCGGGGGCACGCCGAAGCGTCGGAGCACGTCCCACAGTAGGTCTCGGTCCACCGAATCGTATGCCTTGGTGAGGTCGACGAAGCACGCGAACACCGCATTACTCTCTTCCTCGCGAGCTCATGGAGCCGCTGGATGGCGAACAGCATGTCGAGCGTCGACCGGTGTGGGCGGAAACCACTCTGCTCCTCCGGGAGGATGCCCTCTCGCTCGCAGTAGTGGCTCAGTCGTGTAGCGACGACCTAAAGCACCACCTTACCGGCGTGTGCGACGAGAGAGATGCCCTGGTAGTTGCCGCACTCCATCGTGTCCCCCTTCTTGAACAGCACTTTGATGGTGGCATCCTTCCAGTGCTGTGGTACGTCCCCTGTCTGCCACACGTCCATGACAATGGCGTGGAATTCGCGGAGGTGAGATTGATCTTCGTCCAGGAATCAGCTCAGCCGGTATGTCGTCCGGCCCGACGGCCTCCTGTTGGCCATTTCCCGTACCGCTTGTTAAGCAACCTCAAGTAGAGATTGGATGTCGAGTAGCACGCACGTGGGCCACCGCTTGACCTTGTCAGCCGCATGCAGGTGTTGAGAGGCTTGTGGAACGTCCGTGCCCACCGTTAGCGAATCAACGTGGGGTCCCGAAGGACCCGGCCGTCCTCGTCCTTGATGTTCTGAGAGGTAAACGACCTCTTACCCTCGACGTCGATCATCGTCAGGTGCCTGTAGAAACGCGCCTGATCCCCCTCGCGGCTCGTTTTCTCGAGCTGCCGTACATAGCCCTCGAAGAACGTTTTCAGTGATCTCCACCTCGCGATGCTGCGCTTCTTCTGCGCCGCCTTGAGCATCGCCTTCAGGGTCGCCTCGGAGGCGCTGTTCTTTGAGGCCCCACGCAGCTGCTGCTGGGCCGCCTTGATCTCCTTAGCCGCTTCGGAGATCTCTTGCTGCGCTTCGCTCGTATACCAGCCTCTCTGCCCTCGTGCGCACCTCGCCAGCGGCGCGGTCTCAGCAGCGGTCGACATCATCGTAGCCGTCAGCTCGGCGGCGGTCTCTCCCGTTGGCGGCTGGAGGCCCTGTTTCGGAAGGCGACCCGTAGGTGTTTGTCCTTCTTCAACCGCTCGAGGTCGATACGGATCCGGCTGCTTCCGCTGTTCCCCCGCACTCGTCGGTTGGGTGCGACGCGGGGGCGGAGGCGACAGTTCTTGAACTCTATCCTCGTCATGTCCCTTGGAATCCCAAACAGCAGCAGCTTCAACTTGTCTCCCTTCCACAGTTCCTGCTTCCATCCTCCCGGCTTCTCTACGGCAACTGGACCGTGGCCACTTGTTTTTCGTGNAGTGGCTGCTTCCGCTGTTCCCCCGCACTCGTCGGTTGGGTGCGACGCGGGGGCGGAGGCGACAGTTCTTGAACTCTATCCTCGTCATGTCCCTTGGAATCCCAAACAGCAGCAGCTTCAACTTGTCTCCCTTCCACAGTTCCTGCTTCCATCCTCCCGGCTTCTCTACGGCAACTGGACCGTGGCCACTTGTTTTTCGTGTTTTTTCAGGAAGGTATACGGAATACTCGGCCTTCNCCCTTGGAATCCCAAACAGCAGCAGCTCCAACTTGTCTCCCTTCCACAGTTTCTGCTTCCATCCTCCAAGCTTCTTCACCATCCTCATGATCTCTACGGCAACTGGACCGTGGCCACTTGTTTTTCGTGTTTTTTCAGGAAGGTATACGGAATACTCGGCCTTCCCAATTCGAGTGTCCGGCGGGGGTTGTAGTTCCTTTCAGATCTTTTGCCGGCTCACCGACGCTAAATAGCGCCTCCAACATAGGCTCGTATTCTAGATCCACGTTCACACCTCCTGGCACAGGTACCCCAGTCTTGTGCCGGGCGCTCTGCTTAGTAAGCACCCAGACGTCCCCCGACCACCCGATTTATCATCTCCGAAATCCCGCGGGACAGGCTACTTTCCTCGTGGAAGGTCATTTTCACCACAATAAGCTCAGGGACGACTTGCATAGCCTAAGATCCTACTCACACGCCGGGATGGAGCGTACACCAACGTCCAGCTTCTCATGTACGTTCCACGCTCCCGAGGTTGCTACCCCACTCTCCCGAGTAGACCT